GTTTAAATATATCCATATTGGCATGTTATTAAATTTAGAAAACCGATTTCAATCAATATTTTAAGCTTTTGTAAATTCTTTTCATTTAATTTTGTATTTAGTATTAGGCCTTTTCCCCCTTAGCATACTATTTATACATTTGTTGATAATTATGAACCGTCCATACAATGCAGGGTTATCCACCTTATGTTTTGAAATTTCTTTTTTGAGTCTTTCACATCTATTAAATGTGTGTAAAGTTAAATTTAATACTGTACTGTACTGTAATAGTATATAAAAATATGTAAAACTTTTTCTTTCATCTACCCTTATCAATATCGCTTGTCACAGTACTTTGATGTTATTTAATATATTTATAATATTTTATATAGGCCTGCAATTTACTGTAAATACAGCTATTATATAAAATGATTTTTATAAATCTTTATATGTTTGCACAATACCACTAGTGCTACATCGTGTGACTTCATAATGCTAGTAAAATTCAATGCAGTTTATTCTTTTAAGATATTGAATCCAGTTTTTTTTCCTACTATTTAAATGATACAATGCAAGCATTTTAGTTTGGTTGTTTGAACTGTGATATATATGTTTAATGTGTGTTAAATAAAGATCTTGAGAATGAATACATTTTGTTGGGATTTCTGTACAGTGGGTTCAAACATTTCATGTTTCCTGCAATGCCATGAACTACCAAAACACATTTGTACATTACAATCATCTTGTAGGCCTATGATTTTTTATTTTTACACTTTTTTGATTCGTGAAAACAATTTTTTATTGATGAAACGATACAGTTTTCTGTAAAAAAAAAATTATAACAGCGTTATTTTCTAGAGAAGTGCTGTGAATTTCTATGAAAATGCTGTTTTTTTTTCCTATAGAAAAATATAATATATCAGCATTATTTACAAAGAAATTCTGTACATTTCTAAAGAGAATAATACAGTTTTCCATAGAAAATATATTATATCGGTGTTATTTTCTATAGAAATGCTGTTATTTTCCATAGAGATTTATATAGTTTTCTATAGAAAAAATTATATATTTGCAATAAATTCTATAGAAATTCTAAAGTATTGTTAATTTCTATAGAAAATAATAGTTTTCTATAGAAAAGAAATTATAACAGCATTACTTTCTATAGAAATGCTGTTCTTTCCTATAGAAGTATTGTGAATTTCTATAGAAAATAATAGTTTTCTATAGAAAAGAAATTATAACAGCATCACTTTCTATAGAAATGCTGTTCTTTCCTATAGAAGTATTGTGAATTTCTATAGAAAATAATAGTTTTCTATAGAAAAGAAATTATAACAGTGTTACTTTCTATAGAAATGCTGT